TTTTGACCCTCTATAAAGATTATCATTTCGAACACGGTCATTTGCTTGACTAAGTGGTCTTTAGAGCTACATTGAAGTCCCAGATCTCAAATATTATGTATGGACAGTCAAAGAAGGTGCTCAGCAAATATTGGTTATGTTCACACAGGTTACTCAGTTATTCTTCCATTTTTTCATGAGACTTGTTTTCAAAATAATCTGCAAGTACACAGCTCCAAAGTTCAGTCTTATAAGTTGATTGCATTTCCTGCTTCTTATGATTCAAGTAATCTAAATTACAAATTTAGACTCAGCAGTCCAAAAACACCACTCCACATCTCAGATGCTCAGTTTCAGTGATCTAGTGCAATCATCTTATTTTCTTATCTTCTTTTTGTCTGTTTCCTTTTTACTGTAACAGTTTCTTGACGACAACACATCCTTTCAGACTAGTGTTAGCTTGTCTTCTCACAGTCGAAGAATGGATACAAACATTGAGCTTCATTCACCAACTGTTCGTAAGAAGAAATTTCTTTTTAAAACCCTGTTACACAGTTTTCATGAGGATTCTGACATTCTCCAATGTTTTCTTATTTGGCATTTGTTCTTAAGTAAGAACAGAATCTATGCACACTCAAGAGCACAAAGGTGTGGACATTTCCGCGGTTTCAGAATATGTCATGATTCTGATGTAGACTTTTTTTGACTTCTTAGGACATTCTCAAGAACAAATAGAACAAATTTAAGAAAAAAAACTTTGGTGAATGAGGCCTATTGTTTTTACTTATTTTGCTTTGACTTTCTATTTCCTTATGCCACTGGATTATTTTATATCTAATTTCCTTAGGACTATCTGAGATGAGAAAGAACACAAGAAAGAAATTTTAAGGCACGTTTAAGGTGTGTTTGAGTAGTTACTTGTGTGAACATTAGTGCTTCTTTGAAGGTGAACATTATGGGATGTAGAAGGGAAGGGGATGTAGTTCAGTGGTAGAAGCATGCTTTGCATGTATGAGGTCCTGGGTTCAATCCCCAGCATCTCCAGAGAACCAACCTTGTGACCGGAAGGTCGCCGGTTTGATCCCCTGAGCCAACAGTACGTGACTGAAGTGCCCTTGAGCAAGGCACCTAACCCCCAACTGCTCCCTGGGCGCCGTGGACAGGGCTGCCCACCGCTCTGGGCAAGTGTGCTCACTGCCCCTCGTGTGTGTGTGTTCACTAGTGTGCATGTATGTGGGTGTTTCACTGCACGGATGGGTTAAATGTGGAGGTCTAATTCCTCTGTGTGCAAACACAGTTGGCTAATGGTTCTGAATTCTAATTCTAATTCTATTCTAATTATGCCAGTGACAACATGGGGAACAGCTATTGTTGGGAGGACACAGCTGAAACTCGATTTTAAGATTGGAAGGATGGAAGAGCTAAAGAGGCAGTAAGGTGCATAAAAGTAAAGAGTGCAATATACGTGTTGTTGACTTTCGTGTAATTTTCTGTTGAATATAATAACAATAAATAATAATAGTAGTATCTTTATTTATAGAGCACTTTTCATACTGGTGGCAGCTCAAAGTGATTTAAAGACAGGTGATAATGTTTTACAATAATAGACAAAACAATAACAGATCAAGTTAAAAAAGAAATACCAAAGATTTTTTAATGCCGAGTTAAGGAGATTTGTTTTCAAATGCTTCCTTAACATGTAAACTGAGCTTGATTGTCTAATAGATGTTGGAATGGAGTTCCACAGTTTAAAAGCTAATAACAGATAACAGATAACAGAAAGAGGCCTCCCTACGTTTTCTGTATTTAACAGAAAGTATTTGCAGAAGGCCAGTATCTGCAGATCTAAGATCATGTTTTGGAATATAAACAGACAGAAATTCTGTCATGCAAGCAGGTGCTAGTTCGTTTAGAGCCTTAAAAACAAGGAACAGAATTTTAAAATCTATCTTGAAAGATACAGATAGCCAGTGCAGTTCTTTCAAAGCAGGAGTGATATGATCTCTCTTTTTGTTTTTGTTGAGATCCTTGCTGCTTCACTTTGTATGAGTTGGTATTAGAGGATTTATTGTTTTCTTAGGAAGACTAGTAATAAAAGCCTTACAGTCATCACTTCTGCCTTTAACAAATGCAAATATGTTTTCTGCTCTTTTTCTGACACTGAAAAAAATTATATTTTGTACTTAACTGCTATTGAAGAGATTGTCTCTGCCTTTTGCATAATTGATAATGAGACAAAGGTTTGTCGACCAAGTAAAATTGTTTGTTCACCAAGTGATCTTTGCCTCAGCTTCACTTATCCATTTCAGCACTCCTCAGTATATATCAATACCAAGAACACTTGTTGGTGTCAGGTAAAACTGTTTTATAAAGTTTTGGTGCAGAATCATTAAGAAATGATTATGCTTCACAACAAAGTGTTCTTTAAAAACTCTAATCCAAAAATGTTTTTCTGTATAGCATATCATTTTTTTCGTCATATGTGTAATGACACAGTATAGTGGAAGGGCAGAGATCCTACTGTGTTCAAGTGTCTAATGCAATAACTTTTTTTTACAGCACAACATGCATTGATTTTAACTTGCAACCTTTGGATGTGAATTTGGATGTGCTGATGTGCACTTTATACAAAAACCTCTGTAATTAACCTCTTAAATGGCCAGGGACTACCACTGGGCGCAAAGTTTTATTACACACTTCTATAACCTAAGGGTAACTCAACCAGTTCGCATTGAGGTCCCTGTAGTTACTGAATAATAAGCCTAAGTATGTAATAAGCCTGGGATTTTATGGGGTTACATTGTAATATTCTGTGCATAATTCTTGGGATCACAGGGACCTATAGATACATTTGTAGTGTAGATTAATTTAATTTGAGTAACAATTTATTGCTTATGTGATTACTTCTGTGAACAATGTTTTTTTTCTGCATTTATTTTTAAGATTGTTCTGTTCTTGTCTATAGAAGAAATATGGAGGGTTGATTTTCATTTGGTTTTATCAGCTGCACTCACCACTACTCTTGGTCAACTGAACCACATTCTTTCTCTCTGTATAGTCCTTGTTAATGCAAAGTGACCCATTTTTATAAACTCAGAAAAGACTACAGCCTTGTTCCCATTGTCCCAGCGATGCCATGTTTAGTAGAGGATTTTTGAATTAGGGAGGTTACTAGAACTCAACAGTCTATAAGATTTTGTGATCGTCTGGCTGAAAGTGACAACTCCAAACTTTATCGACTGGTGTTGTATTCACATTGTAGCCATCATTTTTTTGTGTGAGCCACTGACAGCATCTAGGGATATCTCTGATTGGTAACCAATCAAAATTACTCCTTCAGCTGCAGGTTTCTTATAACTTGTACACCCAAGAACTAAGTCCCTCAACAAATTAGCAAACATTGATATATTATGGTGTTTGAATGTATATGTCTGTTTGTCTGCCTTGCGATGGACTGGCAACCTGCCCAGGGTGTTTCCCCAATGACCGCTGGGATAGGCTCCAGCTCCCCCCGCGACCTAGAAGGATAAGCGGCTTAGAAAATGTGTGTGTGATATATTATGATTGCATGAATACGCTATGATGATTGCATCCACAAACCTACAATACAAAGGGCATCGTCCCTAAATAATCCAAGACTGTGTCTAAAAAAGTTACACTTAAAATTTGTTTAAATGTAACTGTAAGGTAAAATGAAGTGCTTGAAAAGATTAGGCAAACATGTCAATCACTGGAGTACCACTTTAACTCTTAGGACTCATTACTGAATAATTAGTGGTTACTGGATAATAAGCCTTTACTGTTATCATTTGCCATATTTTTGGGTAAATGTTTACAAAAATACATTGGTTTCTCAAATTACTGTATGTTTCTGTGTGGCTATAAATTCTGCGGTCTGAAATCTGTCCTAAACAGTTTAATGTATAATTTACAGCAAGGTCCTGTAAAAATGAACTGTCCCAGGAATCACAAAAATTTCCCTATTTTCAGCATAGCACAAACCCAAACATAATTGAAGCACTTGTGTGTGTGGGTGTTGAATTCTGTTGTAATTATATTCTAATTCTTTGCTAAAGAGTTAAAACCAGCAATTGGTCAAGCAACATGCAAGTGCCTGTCCTTTTGTTTCAAAATGAGTAGACACTGATAATGGCTTGCCATGTTGTTAAACACATCTTTTTAGCAGATGTTTATAATGGACTATTGATAATGCATTTAAAATGTGGAAGCAGCTTTTTTGGAAGCAACTTGATCTCTCAGCCATCCTACCTATACAAGGCCAGAAGTGTCAGATTCTTTCTAAAGTACTCCTTGAGAAAATACATTGCAAGACAGCAATGAAATGTAGGTAACTGAATTTGTATTTGAGTAGAGTGTTTTGTTGAACTATTTTTACGGTTTCCAAAAAGTGTCCCACTTTACTTGACTGGACACTGTTAGTTTAACAGTACGGCAGCATAATTTGGAAGCAACAAACTGAACATGTGTTATCACAGTACGTGTCTGATAAAATACTAATAAAATAATTAGTTCATAGCTGGCGTCTATCGTAAAAGCAGACTTAATAATTGAAATAAAATGGTTACATTTTTAACAGCCTAATGTGATCGAAGAAGCACTTTCCGTACTGAAATAAGTAATGCAATTTACTTCATTCAAATGTAATGCAAACATCATTTCCACTTGAATGAAATTTATTACATCACCACAGTAATTGCCCGAAGTGAGTAAAGTGAAGTAAATTTGTATTGATGATTTATGTTTTACTCATGTGGAAATCATGAACAAATGTGAATCAAGTAACTTCTATGCATTACTTGTTCAGCGAGCGTTTCCCTTCGTTAGAAGTTGAAACAATCCAGCCTGCGGAAACTTCTGTCCCTCTGAGCGATGATAATAACAAAGCTCCCTCTCTATCAGAGGCGGAGGACCAATAGGATGACAAGGCGTGTGCTGCTTAAGCTTCTTGTTGGAGGAGAGAGGTGTCACTCCACTACGAGGTGGGCTGGCTAATTGAAACGCTGAGCGCAACGCTTCTCATTGTAACCATCCCGCTCGAGAGGAAGGTAGTTGCCCATTGCCCGCTATACTGCGATCCTTCAGCACGGTCGCATGAGAAGCGCCGAGTGAAGAGCGCGTGCAGCAGTAAGAGGGGCAAGCATAGCGCAAGGGAAGAAAGAAACGAAAGAGTAGGAAACTTATAGAGAGAAGTATGGCCGTGTCCGCGACTCCGCCGGTGCTTTCGCCGACCTCGACTCCAGGCGCGGGCAGCCTGTTCCGTCCCGACCCGCTGTACTCCAGTCCGGCCGAGTCCCCGCGCCTGACCAGCAGCATGATCAACTCCTTCATCAGCGGCGGCGGCGGAGGAGGTGGAGGTGGCAACAACGGCAGCGCTGGCGGCAGCAGCAACAACGAGTGCAAAATGGTGGAGGTCCACGGGGTCAAAGTGGCCTCGTTTACCGTGGACGGCCAGGAACTGATCTGCCTACCGCAGGTTTTTGACCTCTTCCTCAAGCACCTGGTTGGCGGGCTGCACACCGTGTACACCAAGCTGAAGCGGCTGGATATATGCCCCGTGGTGTGCACGGTGGAGCAGGTCCGGATCCTGCGCGGACTCGGCGCCATCCAGCCCGGCGTGAACCGCTGCAAGCTCATCAGCCGAAAAGACTTCGAGGCGCTCTACAACGACTGCACGAACGCCAGGCAAGTTTGTTTCCAGTCACACACGACTTTCCGTCTGCACGCACACTCCTCTAGTTCACTGCAATGCACGCACCCGACGCTAATGGACGAATTGGGGGAAAAGTTTTAAAGCTCATGCTAGAGGCTAACAGTCAGTTCTTTTTTGATTTTGATTAATACTAGTTTAGTATTCATGACTGCATTACGTTAAAGCATTCGTGTTCTAGTGAATTCCAATCACGCTAACTCTGTATTGACTATTTCCTTTAAATAGACTGTAAAAAACTCACGGCCACCTGCAGTTTTTACCCGCCAGCCCAGTTAAAAAGTACAGTTTATACACATGCCTAGACTGAAACCGGTCACTGAACTGAAAAAAACTTGGTTTAGTTTGACATTCACTCTTTTTTGGCCACTTGAGTAAAATATGAAAATATCCGCTCCCACGCGACGCGACTGTTTACTCCAGCAGTTTACTCTCACTTTGTTTATTACTTTGAATAAACACCCGCACTGACCACCAAATAAAACTAACACGAGCAAGCGGACGATGCAGTTTATGAAAGAAGAGTTCAAACTTTTTTGGTATTGATATTTTCCTCGTGTGTGCGTGCGCGCTGTTCACCTAGCCCCGACCTTCACAGTAAAGTGCATCGTGTCAAAGAAGCCAGAACTTTCACAGTGGTGAGTGCGAAACACAAAAGTCCTGTTTAGAAATAAACCAAAAGGAAATGTTATTAAATTACACACTTTCAAAGTGTGTTAAGACGATGCGAGGTTTCATCTGAAGGATGAAACTCGCAGGCCTTTTGGAAGTTCACCACATGATCCCACAACAGTTGGGTCCATTTTCCAGAGAATGTTCGCTTCTGTTCTGTGTCTTTGTGTGTGTGTGTGGTGCAGGTGAATGCTGATGAACAGCATTATAGTTTAGCGTTGGGGAAAGCCTTGCGTTCTGTTTCTGTCCATCCTCTGACCTGTGAGGTGTCCGGCTCGTTTGGGCAGTGTGTGTTTGTCCGTGTTTAAATAAATCAATGCCGGCGATGAATCACCTCAGCCCGACTCTCTCGCCTCTGCTTGGTGTGGAGATGTTATTCTTAGCTTGTTATCATGACAGATGCATTAGTGTTCCCATGCTCCTCCAGCAATGTCAGCGGGAGAGAGAGACTTAGCGGGGAACAATCTCTTTTCCATCTTCATCCAGACCTTAAAGATTTTTACCTTCTTGTCTGATTCTAGGACATTTTTTTTCACCCCAGTGTTATTATTTATTTTTTTATTTTTTTATTTTTTTTACCAGTGGTCCACTTGATCCACTAGAACAAGCCTTAACTGGGACACAACTGCACAAGTGTTTAAAGAAATCCATTAAAATAAGTTTTGATCACAAAAACTAAGTCCTGATAATGCAGTTAAAATAAGATAATAATAATAATAATAATAATAATAATAATAATAATCCTTTTCAACTATAGAGCAAACCATGAAATGAACATGTTAAAAATAAGCATACATTAAAAATAAAAAGTACCGGGAAGATTCCTAACATACAACAGAAAATGGAAATGAAGCGTAAGACTCCAGAACGACGTTCTATGTACAATTAAGATTTTTTTTCTATTTTTTTCCCCTGTACTCTCGACTTTTCTGTATTTCATCGTTACACATCTGAAGTACTATGTTTCGAAATGGTGGGGTCATATATCTGGAAGATTCAGTGATTTTTGCATTTTTCCGAGTTTCAGGAAAGAAACGGAGATGTGTCTTTTTTCTTGACCTGTGTGGGATGTGTGTCCAGTTTGAATCAGTGAGTAATTAAGTGCAGTACAATGATGCAGAGAGCAGGGAACACAGGGCTCTGTAATTTTAATATACAAATATGAGTGGATTTAGCCCAGAAAAAAGGGGTAAACATAATTATTTTGTATGTTCATTTGTATAGTTTAAAGAAGTTGTTTATATGGAAAAAGAAATGAAAGAAAAAAAGATAAAAGACAAACGTTTAAATAAAAGTAAAAGAGCCAAAATATTTCATTTTGGTCTCACTGAGGTTAAGGTTAGAGTTTAGGTCCTACCCTTAAACTGTTCCTGCACTCTTACTATATAAACTTGTCTTGATACAGAAACCAGTGGTAATTCCCCGTCAAGACAGGAATACAAACTTGTGTGTGTCCGTGCATGTGTATCAGAGGGAGAGAGAGAGGAAGACAGAGGGAGCCCATCCAGATGGCCATTTCGGGCTGGTTTCTGTAATTAACCTTTTAACGCCCCCCCCTCCTCTTCCTCACCGCAACCTTCAGCATTCAAACGCTGCTTTATTAGGTTTCGCGTCGCGCTCGATCAATCCAGCGCAGACATCTAATCAGCAGAGAGAGAGAGAGAGAGAGAGAGAGTTAGTCTGTTAGTTACTAAGTTAGTTATACAGTTTGTTTGTTGTGTTGTTTTAGTTTAGAGCTTTGAATCAGATTTAAACGGGACCAGAACAGTGGACAAAGAGCCACTGTATGTATTTTACGATCACCTTCGTGCGCCCGCGAGTCCCCGCCTCGCTTTTATAGTCCGATTTAAACATCATCCACCGTCCCATCGCCATATGGCTGCAACTAATCCAAAACGGGACCCTCTCTTTCCCTTTCCCCCTTCTTCTCTCCTGAGGGAGAAGGACTGTGTGTGTGTTAGGGGTGACAGGGACAGGATCACCGGCACACTTCGCTAAAGTGCTCCAAAATGTCCAAATCAGCAGAGCGCGTGCCTTTATGATTCCTCAGCTCGTAATTGATCTCCAAGTTTTATTGCATTAATTATTTATTAACAAAAAAGGAGAGAGGCAGGGAAGAATTTGCAAGCTAAACATAATGCTAAACTCGTTTGCACTTCGAGAGGCTGCACTTAGCAAATTGAAGGAGAATCATATTAGAACATCAGCGCGCATCTGCGCCGCTTCTGCCGCGCCTTGATGGCCCTTGCGTTGCTGGACTGGACTGAGAGGACAGAAAAGAACCCGGAGACGCAGATTTAAGTTCACTGCACGACTCTTGAGTAGTTTGTTTCGTGGGGAAATCTCCCGCCACTTCGCCCGCTCGGGTTGCTCAGATTCGTCATTTTCTGACTCTTGAGCGCGTTAACTGCCGGAGTAACTAAAAAAACTATTTTCCCCACTCCTTTTTTGAGTTTGCTACTAAAACGGGCTTGTTACCCTCGTTGACGGTCTAATTTGCACATTTTAACACATTTTAAAGTGACAGATTGAAGTGATGGTTCTCACATGCCCGGATCACGTTTACGTGCAACGTAACGTACATTGAGGGTTTGGGAATTTATTTTTCCTAATTAGTTCATTCTTAATGACGTTTAAGGAAACAATAAAGTAATATACCTTTTAATTGTCTGAGAAAGCAAACAAACAAACAAAAAAAATCGGCTCATAATCATTTGCATTTTATGCAGTCTATGTGAGACACCGCAAGTTCTGCGCGCACCTGTGCTCGTGACTGTTTTCGTGTGTGCGTGTAACTTGAAGCTCAATCGATGAGCAGTGTATTATTCTGCACATGCCTGCATGACCGCGCGTGCGTGTATTCCATATGGGTCTCTTTTTGCCCCTGGCCTCGCCTGAGGCACCCAAGACAACCCGCCACTTCCTCCATTCTCCTCCTGTCTTCTCCTTCGCATATCTCCAGCGTCTCCCTCGTACTCGCTCGCCCCTTGAATGTCACCTATCAATTATACATCCACCTCCTTTTCCTGTTATTTTTCTTATTACACCCTCTGCTGCCCTTTCTGGGCGGTAAATTATAAATTAACTGCACATAGACCCAAACTCTTCAGGACAGAGCCCTGTGTTTTTCTGCCCTACAGTGCACGCGCATCGCTGGTGTCAACGGCGTGAGTTCGTACTTTAGAGCGTGTCCGTTTACGTTTCTGAGTGTGTGTCTGCGGTACGACAGCTGAACACCTGTGCGCGTGTTGTGTACACCGTGTCTTCATATACTCTTGCACTTTCTTGTACACTTAAATAAAAGGTGCCAAAAAGAAAGCTTTGGAGTGCGCCCATAAGGAAGCCACGTTTGGTTACCCCCAAAAAACTTGCAGCGGATGAGTCTTCAAATAATCGTTTTTGTAAATGAGGTGCGTGAGTGTGTGAACCTCCACTTATTGTAAATGTTTACCAATTAAAGGTTTTTGTTCTATAACCACACGTCCAAGCCAAGAACCATTGAGAAGCTGTGCTTTAGATTTGAAAGACATTTTGCACATAGAAGCTCGTTAGCAGCACAAAAGCGTTTGAACGGTCCGTTCTAATCATCGTCCTACACTCTTAGGAAAAAAAGAGGTACTAAACTGTCACTGGGGCGCTACCCTTCTTGTCACTGGCGGTGGTACCGTTCAGTAGTTGAATTGACTACACACACTCTGTTTTGACTCCAGGCTTTGTTTAAAACATTAGGTTATAAAAAGATAAAAAACAATATTTAAGGTACACAGTTGGACCTTAAAACCATTGTTGTACCTTTGAGGATGCATTAACATTATTTTTCATGAATAAAAATGTACCTGCACATTTCTTCTGACAGTGTATGCTGATTATTTGTAATGTTCCCCCGTTATAGGATACCCAAGACAGCACACGCCTACATTCTCAAGTATGGAAATATCCAGATGCATCTCTCGCCTGCTTTCAGAAGCTTTTAATTGAACAGTTTACCCTCAAATGGGTTCGTATAATAACACAAAGATCCCCAGTGCCCTCTTTTTGAAGTTAACATTCCAATATCCACGACCTTTCTGCGTGTCAGATTTATGGCGCTCCATTGTAAAAGCAAAGGTTGGAATACTTTGATATTTTTTATGGCTGGGGGTAGCTTGCTCTGCGAAGTGTCCCCTTGCGCTCTCTCTCTCTCTAATAAAGCAGCTTGGCCATGCGAGGTCTCCTTAATGTTACAGGGCCTTTTGCTCAGAGCCGCGCAGTGCTTTAATAGCCAGTGCCATGCGGAACCAATGAATTACACACAAAGCCGAGA